CATAAAAATTAGCCAGTTTTTCAAGCATAAAGTCTCCAAAATTAATGTTATTAGGAAATTTTAAACCTGTTTTTGTCTACACTTCCAAATTAGTTCACTCCTAATGTAAAATAATTCATCAGTATTTTTATATTTAGTCATTATGATTTTTTTCTTTTAGGCAAAGTTTGCATCTGTCCGGGAATTTGTTGGGAGTCTGAGATTGACATATGATCTTCCATTTAATCTGTGGGGTGAAGCCTACATCTTTAAGATTACATTAATTTTTATATGAACCCGTTTGATATCTTAAAGAATGCCGGTGATTGCAAAATCTCTACTTCCAACACCCAGCGGATATTCCTATGTATACCTTCTAATATGTCTTTCGGAAAAAATAGTAGCTTCGTATACTACATTTTCAGAAGTACAAATGCCTCCAACTAGGCACTTAGTTCCGGCTTTATAATTACAAGGAGGCTTGTTTTTTGTGTATCGCTGTCATAAAATTTCTTTAATAAAAGGTTGTTGTGTGAGTTAATGATACTGTATATATTGTTAGTGCAGGAATAGTTGATTTTTAAAGTTTTTCTATTGAAAAAAGTTTTAGAGGGTTGTTATGATTAAAATGTTTGTCTATTAAATTTAGAATATTTATATTAGATAATTTACAGAAAGGTGTGTTAAACCATATCATCTTTCTTTTCTGTTTTGAGTTTAGTTGAATTGTTTTTCAAAGTTTCCTGGTAACTTAATTCTTGTTTGAAATTACTTTTTTGAGGGCTTCATTATAAGTTATCTTTATATTTTCATTGAAGATTTTTCTGTTAGATTATAATCTATTAATTCTAGTATTTACTGTGCTAGAGATTTGACTAATTATTGACTTAGGGTGACTGGGGTTGACATTCATATAAATAGGAGTTTGATTTTCTTTATGAAATGGTTTGAATGTGTTGTTAGAGAGGTTGAAAGTGATATCTAAGAAATTAACTATTTTAAGTTTAGATGAGATTTCAATTTTTAAATTCAGAAACTGGAAAGCTTTTATAATCTTTTTCTGTATTTTAGAAGATAGAGGACCATTACTTAATTTTGTTAATAATAATAATAATAATTCTATATTAATATAATTAAATAAGTTAGATAAATTAAGGTAAAGTAAGCAAAAAAATACACAAATATAAATTAAGTAAGAGATAAATAAAGAACCATTTTAAGGAACTAAAATAGCAAAAGTATATATATATATATATATATATATATATGTACACCACGCACGCACACACACACACACACATATATATATATATATATGAGGGCTATATGCATTTGTATGTACAGCCCTGTCCAAGCCTCTGCGACTAACCAGGCGGGAAATGCGAGAAAAAGAAACTGTTCGTGTAGAAGTGGCGGTTACATTTACCTAATTGAACAGTAAAAGGGTGGGACCTAGATGCCAATCTAGTAGCACACTTAAACTCACGTAGTCTGGGCACCAGGGAAAAAGCTCGTCAGAGCAGTAGCCATGAAAATATTTCTAGAAAAGACACGTTGGCGAGAAAGTGACTGAAATCGAGATGCCATGTTAGGATTGATTGCATCACAGATTCTTCTTTGGATTTTTTCAAGAACCTCGAGATGAGTAGCACCCGATCAGAGATGGCAACAGTATTCAATTAACCGACGAATAGTAGATTTGTAATATGCAAAATGGACTCTGATGAGAAAAACCTTCTGGCACGACGCATTAATCGAACCTTCATTGAAAGTGGATGCAGTTATTGATTCGATGAAGTCTGTCAGCCGTATGTGAAACGAAGTGGCCAAACAATGGCGATTTTGTCAGTGACAAACACAGGATTATATATGCAGGCTGAGAGAAAAATGAAAGAGTTGTGAGAGTGATAATAGACCAACACATGAAGAAATGCGTTCTGGGATACTTTCAGTTATCTAGTAGAATTCTTGCCTTTTAGCACATCCATCATAGTTGTGTATACACAGATAGCACAAAGTACTGAAGAAGAAATCGAAAAGTTCTACTAGACTAGGCTCAATGTAAATTTCAAGAAATTGTAATTATCTTGGGAGATCTGAATGCCAAAACAGACAACGAGAGGGATAGTTAGCCAGATAGTAGCCAACACCTGGCTTCAAGAACACCCAAGACGAATATGAACATGGAGAAGCCGAGGAGGTAAAGTGAAAAACCAAATCGATACATAATTATTATAATTATCAACAAGAGATTCAGGAATGCAGTCGTACACTGCAAAACCTATCTAGTTTCCGACTGCGGAAACGATCAGCTTCCAGTTATATTTACTTATAACTTAGAATAAAAAATACGTAATTGAGGAGGCCTAAGTCAGCACCCAAATTGGAATACGACAGACTCTTGTATGACTGTAATCGGAAGGAGAAATATATGGACAGTATGAAAAGCAGATAGAATGGATAAAATGGAAATGGGAAAGTGGAAGTGGGACACACCAATAAAGCTTTAATAGCCTCAGCAAACGAGATCATTTCAAACGAAAATAAATAAAGAAATAAATGAATGAATGATATATGAGATTTTTGGCATGGTGCATAGAAGACAAGACACAGAACAGAATATAAAACACTAAACAAAGAAATAAGTAATAAGTGCAGACAGGCTCAACGAAAAATGTGCAGAAAACAGAATGAGAATCCAAGGATAGAACAATGATATTGATATTAGTGATTAAACAAATATATCGGAGAACTCTTCCACGATGAAAGACAACAACCGACAATACATCGAAATATCGAGGGACTGTGAATATTAAAAGCCGATGTGCAATCTGAACTGGCCAAATTAAACAGAAAAAACTGGCAGGGTCAAACGGAATTATAATAGAGATGCTGACAGTCTTAGATGATTTTATCATATACAAGATTACAGATATAATAAATGAAATCTACAACAATTGTGATATACCGGAAGACCTCACAAGATCTATTTTCATAGCGCTGCCTAAGAAATCAGGTGCAAACGAATGAGAAATCTATCGGACAATCATCCTAATGAGCCATATAAAAAAAAGACAATGGGACAAGGAACGCGATATTTATGTTCAGAATGTTATAAATACAAATGCAGAAGGACGTGTACTTGTGTTTTATAGATTACGCAAAGTACACCACAAAAATTCGTTGTAACTGCTAAGCAACCATGACATATTTGAGAAGGATAGAATAATGCAGAAATCTATACTGGTGGCATACATACGGGTAGAAAATGAGTTCAGCACACATACAAAAATAGAAAGGGGTGTAAGACAAGCATGTGTCTTCTCACTGGACTTATTCAGTGAGGTAATTCTAAGAAAATTAGATATCCTACTATGATTCATTATTGGCGGGCACAAAATTAACATTATGCATGGTTGCTAGCAAAAGGATGAGATAAAATCCAAATTACATATCAACAAGTTCGGGAGTTTAAATACAAGGGAAGTGTTTTAACAGAAAACGGAAAGTGCGACACTGGAATCTGAAGACGCATTGGGATAGCCAATTATGCATCCCAAAAGTTAATCACAATATTAAAAGACAGAAAAACTTCGTTAGAAACAAACAAAAGAGTACTGGATTGTTACGTAATATCTGTCTTCCAACATGACAATTAATTCTGCACAATCTCTTCAAAGATGAGGAAGAGATTTGAAGCAACAGAAATGTAGTTCTACAGGAGGATGCTGAGGATAGCATAGACCGAATATGTAAGCAACGATGTGGTTTTAGAGAAAATGGAAACCAAAAAGAAACTTATGCTTAACATTAAGTTGAGAGATTGAAATTTATGGCGCATATAACGAGGAAAAATAACTTGGAAAAACAGGTACTCACAGCACAGGTAAGAGGGACAGAGGAAAACACCGCATGAAATACTTGAGTAAATGGATGGCGGAAGACGAATTAGGAGAACTAAAAGACAAATCTATTAAGAGCCAGAAAGTGTAGTAAGTCGTGGAGAATTAATATCATCTTCTTCCTAAGGGTAAACAACACATAAAGAGGAAGAAGAAACCTTAAATCAGCTAATATTCCTCAATTAAAGTTTCAGAAAAGTATATTTTATTTTGGAAATATTTTTAATGAAGACAATTAAATTGTGACAAAAGATAGCTAAAATAGTGCTAAAATCAGCGATGGTTGGCAATTTTATAATGAAAACACCTTCTAGCCAATTTAAATTAGTTTTGAAATACAGTAAAGTATTTTACTCATGGTAAATATTAAATTTAATCTATTACCTTGAAATTAAACAAAATAAAATATTCAAAAAGGATTTTTCATTTGAAAAAATTAATTTTAAACATTAGGTAACACGTTTCTGTGGAGAGGTAAATATATATGTATAGACTGATGTTGATATATGATATATATGAACAGATTAATACAGATAGACATAAAAATGTTTATATAGATATTCGTTAGTAGACTAATATTAATAAATAGAAACAAAGTGAAATAATTATCAGTAATATACTAAAGCGCCCTCACTGTGTGGTAAGTGAAAGGAAAGCTGACATTTTCTTACAGCTATAGAGAAACGTAAGCAAAGAGATTGACGGGCATAAGTTTCATATTTTTTGCCTCCAAAGTTCAGAACTAATAACTTACTGCATTTGATACAAAAATACATTCCATACAAAAATCAAAAGTGTATTTATTTGGCAGAAGGTTAGCTAATAGCACTTAGAAATATATGTGTGTATACAAAAGTGCGAAATGTATTGTTATACTCAGCTGCAAATTAGATCTCTTTCACTCTACATGTCGGGCAGATGTAAGAAAGTAAAACCAAAAAAATTGTCGTTTTCTTTGGGCTTCGAGAATCACACCCGGTCCACAAAACAAATCCTCGCAAAAATCTAAAATACAATAACCAATCACGAACGTTGCCACCAAAAATAAAAAATGATGAGTCTGGGAGCCACCATATTTACTTAAGAGAAAGCCCCTCATAATCCTCAGCTGTCGCCACCATGATTTCAGTCAACCTACCCGCCAAACACGCATTATCAGGCCTTACCACGTATCAATCCCGTCATCTCATTCTAGCTACCAGTGATTTCACCCGACTCTTTGCGTTCACATCTATCTATCTATCTATCTATCTATCTATCTATCTATCTATCTATCTATCTATCTATCTCATGTTGTCTGTCTGTGTGTCTGTCGTGGGCGTTGTTACCTCACCCAGGTCGCATTTCTCACCCGATTTCGATGCGGTTTTCACCACAAGTTTGCAAATGGCTGCCGTAAGGACATGACGGAGCCCGATTTTTGAGTTCGGACTCGGGTTCCGAAAAAATCGATAATCGAAAAAATCTGCTTACAGAAGGAATGATCGCATTTCAACCAAATTTGACACCCTCTTAGAGTCTACCATTAGAAGTGTTGTCCAGAAGTTTCATGACCACGGACCCCTAAACAGCGCGGAAAATCGATAAAACTCAAAAACCGATACGCCCAGATTGCGCCTGAACCGCATGTCGGTTTTTAGCGAAAACCGACCGGATTTCTGAGTAGGCCATTGGGAGTCACCATGTGAAGTTTCAACTCTGAGCGCCCCCCACCCAAACAGAGTGCAAATCGACAATCGATCAACCCTTAAAAATGTTTTTCCGGTTGGGTATTTCCTAAATTCCTAAAAGTAGAGGCAGCACGCGGAGATAAAATGGGTAATGCAAACGTTTAAGCAAATAGGTAACTTACGGTAGCAAGAAGCTGTCAATTAATCCAAGGACAGATGCGTTAATGGCGATCAAATCAAGACGTGAGTGCGGATGCAGTCGCGCTGAAGATATTTAAAGGGAGCGTGACTTATCATTGATTGGTGTAGCCTGGACAATAGCCATGGCTTAGACCAATGAATGAGCTCACGCAAAATGGAAGATGCTAGCGTGCATTCACGCACGTGCACATGATTTGGCAAGCGCAAGGCTTGGCCGTAAACGGGGTCAAGCTGCCTGCTGCATATGCAGCTTGGCTCTAATGCACGTGATGCCGGCGATGAGAATGCAAGGAGCTGCAATGAAGAGTTTGTTCGTTAAGCCGCTAACCGTTTTCCGGCATTAGCTTTGAAATGGAGTGGGAGGAAGCCCTGCTGTTTTAGCGCAAAACTCCTCGTCAGGTCTGGGATGCAGCCTGGGCTAGGGGAAAATGTTTAAAGAATTGGAAAATGGACTGCTGAGGGCGGAACCATTTTCACTCAGCACGTATGCGGTTTTTTTTTTCAGTAAAGTCGCGAATAAAGGAAGTGCTTATTTTGGTAAGAAGCGACGATTAAAGCAAAAGTATTGACTTGTTTCTTCCCGTGCATAGCGTGACCTTACTGTCTTTACTACGCGGCCCAGTACACCTCAGTACTTCACTGCCTATTTGCTTAAACGTTTGCATTACCCATTTTATCTCCGCGTGCTGACTTTACTGCGCAGCCCAGTCCATTTAGCGTTCCATACCTATTTCTACCTTTTCGTAGTTCAGCGGTGATCAGCACAACAGACGTGACGTTGTTATCGAATCGCGCGGCAGTGGGCTCCGAAGAATCAGTGAAACGCACTGGTCCTACGATGCACTGCAATTACCCACTTCTCTTCCCTTACGGAGAAGATGGGTACCACTTTGGCATTCTGACCAAGGGCCGCTTACGATGCGGTTCTTGAATTCATCAAGAAGGATACAGGATCAATGTTCTTCCTGGACGCGCCTGGGGGAACGGGAAAAACGTTCGTAACAAAACTGCTTCTTGAAGAAATTCGGCGCCATGGGGAAGTGGCGCTAGGAGTAGCGTCTTCAGGCATTGCTGCCATATTACTACCGGGTGGCCGAACAGTGCACTCAACGTTTAAACTTCCGCTTGACCTGATTAAGACAGAAACAGCTGTATGCAGTATAGCCAAGCAATCAGGTCTAGCGGAGGTACTCAGGCGATGTAAGCTCATCGTCTGGGATGAGCGCACTGTCAGTCTCAAAACAGCACTCGAGGCTGTAAACCGCTCTCTGAAGGATATTCGAAACTCCGATGACCTTATGGGAGGTATAACTGACTTCTATCCGGTGACTTTCGCCAGACCCTCCCCGTTGTACCTAAGGGGACAAGGGCTGACGCTATTCGAGCGTGCTTGAAATCGTCACAACTTTGGCCCACTGTTAGACCATTGCACCTTACCACCAACATGCGTGCACACCTAACTGGCGATGTTGGGCCCGCCGAATCTTCGAATTCATTATTAGCCCTTGGCGAAGGTATTATTCCAGCGAACACTAATGAATTTGTAAACATCCAAGGGTTGTCTACAGTGGTCACAACGCCAGCAACACTCAGGAAATCAGTTTTTCCTGATCTTCAAACCAACTACAACAATATTGAGTGGCTTGCTAGGCGGGCCATTCTTGCCCCCAAAAATACCACTGTGACAACCCTTAATAGACAGCTTCTGGAAACTGTGCCAGGGGTGTTGCACGTTTACAAATCCACTGACAGAACTCCAGACCCCGCTGAAATGGCGAACTTTCCAGTGGAGTTCTTAAACAGCCTCCACCCCGCTGGTCTCCCTCCTCACATTCTGGAACTTAAAGTGGAGATCCCGGTTATATTGCTTAGAAACCTACGTCCATCGAAACTCTGTAATGGGATCAGGATGGCTATTCAGGCCGTCCACCCAAACATTATTGAGGCCAAAATTATAACTGGCTGCGGTAAAGGGGAGCAAGTGCTTATCCCAAGGATGCATTTTTATCCATCAGATGCCGACGTACCCTTCACTTTCAGAAGATCTCAATTCCCAGTCGCACCCTGTTTTGCTATGACAATTAATAAGGCCCAAAGAAAAACGCTGTCTGTCACTGGTGTACACTTAGAGGAGCAGTGCTTCTCACACGGCCAACTTTACGTAGCCTTCTCTCGAGTCGGCAGGCGCGAGGATGTGTTCCTTTATTCACCCTTGCAAAAAGCTAAAAATGTGGTCTACGCTGAAGTCCTCAGCCAGTGATACGCAAACTCCATTCCATTTTCCCTATTTTTTGTATGGTTTCCAAAGTATCGGGTTAACAAAACAAGAGCAACAACAACCCTGCCCAAGTAATATGACCAGTCTCAATATTTCAGGAAACTGGGTTGGGTGTAAAAAAGTATTTGTTGTTAACATTCTTTTTCATTCGGTTTTTCCAGTTACGAGTCCTTTTTTAAAGCTGATCGTTTTGTGTTCATTTTGTTTAGTTCTTTTTTCGTAACAGATTTAATGTTTAGTATAGAGCTTATAAAAAATTCGCAGTGTGAGATAGGCAAGAAATAAGGCATGTAGCAACATCAGCACGGCAAAGGGCACTCCTTTAAAGGCAAGGAAGGGCAAAAATATTTTAAATCAACTGATAGCGATTGCTGTATGAGTCATACGATTTTTGAATCAAGCACGGGCAACGCCGGGCCATGCTGCTAGTCCTCTATATTGGTAAAGTCAGATTTGCAGCTTCACTAATCCTTACCAGGCGTCTCTTGTTGTTGCCTCGATCAACCGACACGCCAAACGCACAAACTCTAGATTCCTAACTTTACCCGACTCTTCACACAGGCTGATAGGCCAACTGTCGACACCGGCGGGTTCTTGACGTCACCACCGTGATTTCTAATACATCGACGTTTTCACTTTCACAATCCATGCTCTCTTGTCGTCACTACCATGGTCAATTACGCAATGTGGAAACGTAAGGTATTAAATAAGCTTTCATTTATTTCTGTATAATTTAAGAAAACACCACCTTCTTTTGAGTTTATGCCGTAAACTAATGATTGCATATGAAGATGTCAAAGAACAACATATTGTGAAATCATTTCTCATTATTACGTTTACTCCTTGTGTTACCACATTAATTTTACTGATTCAAAGTCACTAGTGTGCGCTTAAAAGCTTGTAACAAAAGCCAAAATAAGTATGGTTTCCCGATAAAGATGAAAAGGCAAAGTATTGTGAATTGTTACAAGAAAAGAATCTTTATTATTGTCAATACCTGGGAGTGCAGTTGACATCGAAGAGATACAAAGTTTTCAAAATGCCTTTTTTTGCATGTATGACACTCAACATCTCTGGTCGGACAGTCACTTAGTCGCTCCAACAGTGTTTGATAATGAGTGAAATGAATGCCTCGAGAATAGTTTTGCTTTTGCAATCGTAATACTGCAAGAATTTAATTATAAAGATTAGAGCTCATTTAGACAGTATTTAGAGCCTAGTTAAATACATCATCAAGAATTAATGATTTGTTGAACACGTCTCTATCTGATGATTCAGTAATATTCATCTCAAGATTCGTTAATATTCATATTAATTCAATTTTTTGACGTCAACTTTTCAATATGACCAATTAAAAATCTTTGCCAATTTTGCATGTTTACAAAACCATATTTCTGATTGTTCGCATTATCGACCATGGAATCATAACAATTCCATGTTTTTCAACTGACATATAGTTACATTCCACATTTTTCAACCATATTTTCAGATTGTTTACATTATCATGTTTTGCGAATTATAACAATTCGATATTTCAATTCATGTTTTCACCTGAACGTTTTTAATCCTTCCAAATTCCAAATCCTATACGGTGGTTTTCACATGAACTCTTTTAATCCTTATGAAACTACCAGTGTCACAATAGTGCCTTCTTTAACCCTTTCAACTACTACATCTGGTGGCATTGAAAAGTACGATCTATTCCACAATATCAGACGTTGAATTCAAACAAATATTGTTCACAACTGGATCGATTAAAGTTAGTTATAGATAAACATCCGTAATTAACCAAGACCTCACGTTTCTTTGCAGACCCGACAGAAATTTGTACAAATTATTACTTTTTTGATCTATACAAAATTTTCTTAATGGGCAGAAATCCCATGGAAGCCTGTAAAACATAATTCAGAAAGATACCAAGTTCCGGGAAGATGGAATCATGCAAAATGGCACATATGTGGTTGACTAAATCTATGTAAACATATATAACTTATGTCTGAAATTCACTTTTTATTTTTCATTTTTGTCGCGGTTCTCCGATAATTTTCCGTTCGAATTTTCATGTACTAAGTCATAAATAATTTACATATAGACTCTGGTAATATATGCAATGTTTCAGAAAGGGAATATACAAATTTTCTAATTAGTATTAGAAAATTTGTTTTTCTTTTGCTTTTGTCCAAAATTGATTTATTGATTTATTTGTAGGCATGTTTTTGTATCGTCTCAAGATTTCAACGAAGTAGAATGAAAAGAATTACAGAAATAGAGGAGTGGTTAGCTGATAATGATTACTGTCGTTGTCTTGAGACCTGCCAAATGTATTGGCATGATGACTGGATTACTATGTTTAGGTGTCCTGCCGTCAATCTGATTAATCGGGTGTTGCTTGGATCCCAGCTGTCAACCTAAGATAGTAATTAACATTTGTGCCTGACAACGAATAGACCGATGAAGAGGCAAGGGGCGATACAAAATCACAGATTAATAAAACTAAAAGAGACAGAGTTTTAATTTATATTCCAGTTAAGTGTGGTGTATAAACGCAGAGTCGAACTTCTTCTCTTAAGAAATTTAATGTGATGAATATTGTCAGGAAATAAGACGTGTAAAGAAGAGATGAAAAATAACAGGAATTATAGTGTCGTGGAGAATGGCTTGCAAAGATAACCCTAACAATATGAGGAAAAAGAAAAAACGAGAAAAGGGATAGAGATCATATATATATATATATATATATATATATATATATATATATATATACAGAGAGAGAGAGAGAGAGAGAGAGAGAGGGAGGGAGAGTCAGTGAGTATATAGACAGTGAAAATAGTAGTAGGTAATGAAAGAAATCAAGAATTGAAAAAGAGGAAGGTAAAAAGGGAATTCGGGAAGATGTAATTATAAGTCAACAATGAAAAACGAAATGTCAAGAATATTTTTCTATTGCAACTTAATTAAATTATGTAATTGTTTTCAGCCATCGACGGTAAATTTGTCGAAAAATTTATAGAATTTAGTGGTGGAATCAAGACTTTATCAACTTTAACTAAGCTGTTATTAATGATAGCACTATTGATATTAAAATATATAAAATATCCTTTCATATACCTTATGTAAGCAAACCAAGTGATCCACCTTCTTTTATCACGTATGAGCGAACGACATTGCATACATTCATAACTCATCCCCTGAGATTAAATTTTCGAATTAATGAAAACGAAGCTAAGGCCAAGGAATAGTAGAGAACATAGAATATTAAGCAAGAGCATTAGAATAGATGCAAAGATGCAAAAGTTGAATTGTTCAAAGTGAATTGTGTAAAGGTAGAAAACTATTCTGGAACATAAACATAGAATGCATGTACGACAAAAGAAAACAAAAATTATGAAACTACAAAGAAGTAAACAGAGAGAGAGAGAGAGAGAGAGAATACTAGAAATGTTAAAGCTGTCACATTTGCAAATGTATTTGTTTTTTACTTCAGTGGTGATGTTTTGAAATAAAAAAATACAATCATTGTATGGACACACAAATTCTACGTAAGACAGAACGATAGATATTTGCGTATTTATATGATTATCTAAGATTAGACTTCGATTGAATTTAAGATTGCATTTTATATTCGTTACAACAATGACTGTGAGGACACAAACCGGTTTTAAAAATATTAGCATTTCTTTCTTTAAAAAGCAGTTTGCAGATTTCATCGAAGAGCTTTTAAAATGACTTAGTTTGAAAGTTTTTTGTATATGTAGCTTTTAAAATGACTTTGAATGTTTTTGTATAATATTCTAGTTGAACTAATCTTCTGTCTTCTTTGAATCAGGACACATACAGACAATCTACAACAACTCTGGGTGACGCATGCGATGGCAAGTTAGACGCTTTCTCGTTTTGGCCTTCATTCGCTTAATGTCAACTATGGTCCAGTTAAGGTGGTTGAGACTGTATTGCACCACAGGTACAGCCAAGGTGCTTATGGCTGATATTCTGTTTTTTGAATTCAACTCGGTATTCAATAACAAACGAACACATCTGTAGTATTCTTTTTTTACTTTCTCCTTCATTTGGGTACGCTGTATTCCATCTGCTTCGCTAATTCCTATTATTATTATGATTATTATTCTATCATCTTAACCATACTTTTCATTATTATTATTCGCAATCAATCACCTCGGTATTGTAGATGACATTAATAATATTGTTGGTTTACTCATTTTCGATTCTTCCAGCTATTTCGCGAATTTTTTTTCGGTCAATAATGCTTATTATGTAGAACTGGTACGTTCTACATATTTTTATAGTTTTTATTTCATTTAAATTTTCAACTTTGTGGAACAGCAAAATAATTTAGCTAGTAGATTTGGCGTAGGCTGCATGATCCGTTTTAATTTCAAGATATATGTTTTTCATTTTCGTTGATTGGCATTGTTGAATTATTGCAGTTGTTTGCATAGTGTCATCATTTGTACACCAACACCATTATATTATCACTTATTATATGACCGACGGTATTATCCCTGTCTCTGCTGACAAGAGAATTTATTTTTATGAAAGAAACTTCTCCGAGTTCTGGGTCATTTAGATAAATAAAAAGACCTTAATGTGGTTGGATATATGTGGTTACTGTGCATCGCTTGCTATACAGCTTGCCGAGCTGTTTTAAAGTTTGCTTTGATATGAATGGTGGCTTCTCGAATTGTGTTTTAAAGTTGACCTGAGAAGTCTGTCATTTTCTCACTATCTCATCTTTGGAGGCCCCATGCTCAGCTTAAATGCTTAACTTTCATCATTTGGCTTCCCATGTGGTATGATTGAGCAATGCATACCTAAAAAGGGTTGTTCAGTCGCTCAGGACACGTGTTGATTTGTGACTGCGTACTTTCAACACGTTCAACACAATTTGAACACGTCGCCATTCCGCTATCGACGTGGGAGATGTTAAAAGATCTCTGAATATATACACAGCAGTGGTACATGCT